GTATTCTTATGGTTCTTAGGAATACGATTGACCAAGGTGGTAATTTCGTACGTTACATTTTTTTTTTCAAGAAAGGAAAGCTATTTTTGTCAGAAAATGCGAGCATTTTAGACGTCCTTTTTGTTCAAGGAGCTCCAGGGAAAATTTTGCCATAAAAATAGAGCATTCCCAACTCCGAGGAAGGCGACGCCGCCCAGCGCTAAAGTAGCGGGTGAGAGAATTGGGAAACTTGCTACCGCTTATCCAAGTGTGCGGAGATAATTAGCGCCGACTGGCGGCCCAAATTGTAATACTGAGAAAAGCCGATTGGGCGAATGCTGTTTGAGTTGCGAATTACAAAAGGGAGGAGTGCACTGGACCGGGTCCCGTAAAGACGTAAAAGTAAAACTGTTCTGATGTGGGGAAAAAGAATGGTGTCACTGTCGTTGATTTTTATGTCGGATCCATGGCATAATTTTGTTTCTGCTTCCCAATAAACAGTTAGGTATGAAGCCTAAGTCGTACATAAGTTGTACATAAGTCAGCACGAACAGCTGCGTGCTGACTTATGTACGACATCACTGAGTGAATTCTCGTTTGCAGGAAGACGCAAAAGATAGCGCCACTGTCGTTTTGTACGCAACACGTTTGCACCAAACGCTTCAACGAATTGTCAGTGTTTGCCAACCCCCCCCCCCCTCCTTCTATTTTTTTTTTAGTTTGACTCTATAAACGGTATTGCATACACAGAAACTTCAGGACGGTAACCTCTGGACGTTTGCAAGTACTACCTCCGAGTCAAGAGGGGTCTTAACCCTCCTTGACTCGGGGTTAGCTGCCATAACGTGACCATTCCCTTAACCCCAACCCTGCGTATACAAGGAATGGAAGCTCTCTGGCAACCCGATCCGTCTTTCCGAGGGCCTCATATTCATTGATTGATTGAGTGACTGCCTGATTGATTGTATGATTGATGGCACCCCTAAAGGCCTCATGTCGTATGAAGAAGGGGATGCATGCATGACATTATCGCAAACACCCGCAATCATGTTCGTTTTCTTGCCATCTGGCAACTTTCAAGTGTAAAATAAATTTGTTTTGTCTTTGCACTCTTACTTGAAGAGGCCCAAGTGGCGTAGCTTTGAGTTTTGTTTTAAACGGTAAGTTAGTATAGTTGGCACAAGAACAAGCACTGCAAAAGAAAGTTGAACGTTACAACAACGTCCCTTTCTTTCTACTCCAACCGACTACCGGTTTTTCCCCCTAATCCTTTTACCAAGATAGTTTTATCGAATAAAGGAACTACGCGTTTAATTTCATTTCTTCAGTTTTATAGTCACGTTAGAATGGAGTACAGCAATTCAAACTAAGACCTTACTATTTTTTCTGTGTTCCATCGCTGTGCGCACGCGCTTGGCGGGAGTCGATCGCGCTGTGGATTGTCCAATTACAATCCAGCTATCGCAGACATCCAGCGCAGAACAGTAAAAAAAATAAGACAAAATATGCTTTTTCGTTGATGTCAAATAAAAAGACCCTGATGGCGACGACTATGCTTTTCGCATTGACCACGGCTGCAACGCATTCAAGGCGTTTTGGTCGTCAATAAGAACCTCCAGCTAAGCTACAATTCACACCTTTACTTTTAGACACCCCACTGATCTTAAGAACCCTGGACCTATCATTAAAATGTCCGATTTCAAACGTGCACAATGTGCACAACTTTATGTGGCCATGCAGTCAAAATTTGTTGTTAGCGATGCAAAGGTAGAAACGTGGAAGAGAGACAATTGTGTACTCGCTCGGGGCGAGCATCTCACCGGTTCGATGCCGTCAAAGGTACGGGGTAGTCCGTGCTTGAGAGCCGATTAAAACTAGACACGGGCGCTCCTCCTGTCTTCGGAAGCGCCACAGAAAGTTGGCTCCGATTATAAACACGCAATCTCCAACTCTGCAGACGTTAAAATAAAAATAAAAAAGGTTAAATCTTTTATTTTGCTCGCTAAAACCTACCTATTATCGAAGAAGCGCTCGCGGCGCATGTCCATCTGGCCACGCAGGCATGATGCACACGCCACGCGTCCTATCACGTGGTCTTTTCTTAGCCCCCCGCATCTAGGCGCGTGGTGGCGACTAATGGAGCAGTGTCCCCCCCCTCCACGGAGCATGCGCGGAGAGGGCAGACCTGAAGCCCGAGGATGTACCGAAAGATCGGTTCTTAAGATAGACCGGTATCTGGTGTCTCAAAAGCCGCATGCGCCAGAACGTGTTGGTCGTTCTCGGGACGCCCTGATTTACAGGCTGTCTTTAAGAGGTTCCGACCATCAAGATGGGCTCTTCTTTTTTGACGGCTTACTGGCGTCTTGTCGAACTCCTCCTGTATCACCGAAGGGGGCAAAAACAACAACAACAGCGCTATTTAGGGGCGGAGCTACGGAGTGAGCTCTGCCGTCATAAAACGTAATAAGTCTCGGGCTATAAATTCCGAAACCACTTACTTAAAACAAGCTGTACGTGCCATTACGTTCGACACCTTAACCCAGTTTGATCGTTAATGGGTTAACTCGAAGACCCCGGATGTTCTCGTATTAAAGGGCAAACGAACACAACTTTTGAGATGCACGCGAGTTAAAGATAGGTACACTTGCAGGTTTTATAACAACATCCGAAACTAAGGCACACTGTGGATGACACCGTCGTTGAAGTGTGTAGTTTGCGCTCGGGTGTCGTTTACGACGTGTTATTGTCAAGTAAAATTAATAGCACAAAAAGAAGTAATGATTGCACTTTATACTGAAGCTGTAACTAGGGCGTGGCTGCTAGACTGGGGCCTTTAACGCGCATCACGCAGCAACGGTTACATCAATTCATGTCTATGTGCATATTGTTCGTTCATATCACAATCGGGGACAACGGGAGTTAAACTCCTATCTAGGAATGCATCGCGAGCGTCTACTTGAAGTTTAGTCAGTTGTAATTGTGCTAGACTGCTTTATTATGGTAAGTTGTAATACCGGACAAGGTGGTTAAATGACCATACGGCTGTAATTGTCGTAGATAACTAATTTTATGTGTTCATTACAATATACTTCCAAAGCAAGATTACGAGTTACATTAATCACGTGGCCCAGTAAAGTACTCTGGAAAAGTAAAAGCAGTTTTAGCACCACTTAGACAATTACTTTCTGGTTCGGATAATCCAGTACAATCTGCTAAAAATATTTGGTTGGCGAGTATTTTTAATCGCAATGTTAAAACACGGTTTAATGTTTTGCAACTTCTAGTAAAGACTAGGGTAGCCAAATGTTTTTCTATTTCCAGAGTAGTAACTGCAACCGTAATCGACATATTTTTTGGTAAGATTTAATACCAGAGAACGGTATCACGATTGGTAGCAACTGTTTATCTAAGTGTGATTTACACCTTCTTGTAAGTTTCAAAAGAATCCAGAGGTGGCCAGGCAAATACTTCTTGAGTGAGAGTAATCGAAATCATAACCTTAATTGACCCCCTTTTTTTTCTTTTTTTTTAAACGAAAAACAGCGCCGAAAAAAACACAGGAACACAGACGAAGAGAAACAGGACAAGGCACACTCTCAACTGAAGTTCATTGAAAATTGACAAGCTAATTTAGCCACAAAAACCCTTTTTAACCTCATCAACTCAGCCGGCGTTTCAGAAATTCAAACTCATCTGTAGATGAAGACAGGGGTGTGTCACTTGTCCAGGGAGAAGAGATGTATAAGTGACACGTCTCTGTCTTTATCTACAGATGAGTTTGTATTTCTGAAAAGCGGGCCGAGTTCATATGGTTCACAGGGGATTTTGTGGCTATATTAGCTTGGCAATTTTAAATAAACTTCAGTTGAGAGTGCGCCTCGTCCTGTTTCCCTTCGTCTGTGTCCCTGTGCTTTTTTGGCACTGTTTTTCTTTTGCAATGGACTAACTGGCCCAAATCTCCACCTATTCTTTTTCTTTTGTAACGTTCAATACAAAAACGAAATGTGACAAAATTATTAATATTTTTTAATTGAGAGTAATTCTGGTGATGCGGGCAGACAGGCGGGACAAGCCGGGCATATCTCTAAGTATTAAAAATAAAAAAAAAAAAAAAAATAATAACCGCGCAAAAAGTCAGAGACAAGAAATTGAAGAGGGCGATCGTTGACTCACGACTAACGCTTTAATGGACAAGAAGGAAGAGAAGCCAGGTATATGAATTGCCAACAACCATTTAGATTGTGTTAAAAAAAAAAAAAAAAAAAAACTTATAATCATAGCGTCCCTAGACGTGCACCTTAGAATTTGCCAGTCTGACATTCCCCTTACCTCCATTAAAGGGGGGGGGGGGGGGGGGTGCAACGATTTTATGATTAAAAGAATTTGCATCTCGTCATTTTTACGTTGTTTATCGTGTCCCGGAGGATAAGGAAAACATCTCCTTTATTAAAGATGTCGCGATTCCGCTGCATAATCGCAAAGCCAAAGCCGAGCTTTTTCCCCCACCTGCAGCCGCAAGTGGCAGCCGAAGGAACTACGGCTAGAAGATTACGTGACCTTGCTCGGCTCTAAGCTGAAGCATAACGCCCGTTAATGTCAGCAGAGAGAGGAAGAGGAAGCGTCTTCCGATATAGCACGCGGGAACCTACACGGCACTCCGAATGACGTCACTAGGAGTGCGACCAGGTGTGACCCTGAAGACTAGGAGTAAGTTGAGGGGTGCCCGAAATAACAATTTTTATCTTTTTTTTTTTTTACACAGTAACTAGGACACGCAGGCGAAATTGGTTTTCTGTTCTTTACATCATAAGTGTCAGGGGGCAACTTCCACAAGTTTTCGACCGAAGTCCGGAAATCGTTGCACCCCCCCCCCCCCCCCTCCTTTAAGGAAAGTAGAGTTCACCGTACTCAGCACGTCAAAGGGAGCGTTTGGAGCCAATCCTCGAAGGTCGCGACCTCAGCGACGCTTGCAGTCGCGCACAATATGGCCCAGCAGTTTCCTCGCGATTCAGGTCACTGACCTCTGTGGACGATCTTGCCGAAGAGCGACTTCCCGCGCATGTACTCTGGCGTCGGGCAGTTCCACCGGCGGTCCCTGAACTGGTGCTTGCACTCGGAGATGGCCAAGCGCATGCCTCTCCCGATGGCCTGCAGGGAACCGGGGTTGGCCCGGACCAGCCCCCGCTGCTTGCGGCGGAGTGGCACACTCAGCTGGAGCTCGTTGCCCGTGATTGCGTTGCCCACGGCGTTGCCCAGCACCGCGTTGCTCTGCAGGTCTCCGGCGCCTATGCCCCTGTGGGTTGAGAAAGGACGCGTCCAACGTCGTTACGTTTGTCACCATACATGATGCCTGCGGAACGCTTTTCCAAGGGCCCTAAACTCGTGAAACACAAAGTTGGAGCCGAAAGTTGGCGGAGCGCGCCGATTGGATGTTGGCGACAAAAACGCCGAGTCATCGTCGTGATAGTCCAATCGGTGCGCTCCCTCAACTTCGGCCCCAACTTCGTGTTTCACGAGTTTAGGGCCCCAAGTGTCTTCCGCGTCCATGATAGTGGCTTTCCCTCGATTGCCGCCTCGTGACGTCATAAAGGTGTCACGCTGTCGCCGGCCGCGATCCTGGCGGTCGGTAGTGTAAGTTCAAGCGGAACGATAGAGCTTGTCGTGGCTGCTGATTCCGTGGACTTTCAAACTGAAGAGCGACCTGTCGTTGAACGGTCGCGTCTGCAGCGTCTACCACCGATGCCGTGACACTGCCAGGATCGCGGCCGCGGGACACGTTTATGACGCAATCGGGTATCAATTAAGGGACCACATTTGAAGACGCAATAAACACACACTTCGAAAACGCGCTCTAGGCATCATAAGCACGTCACTTACACTCCGTTGCAACGTAACTTGGCAGACGGATAAGCAGAAGGTTTCTGTCAAGCCAGTGGGAGGGTCAAAGCGAGGCACGTGACAACCTGAATGTACCCACGCCTCCTATAGACGACGAGGCCGTAGTGTCGGGTTTTCTGCGTCGCCAACCGGATGTCATTTGGACACGAGTGCTGCATCAGCGATCGGCTGTTACTCGCGTGCTCACGAACAAACCCAAGTCTCGGCCGAAGCTTCAAGCAACGGTTGTGGCCAATATGCACCCCGTGCTGACTTCCGGTACGACAGAGAAAATCGGGCACTTCGGCCTTGCTCTATCTAGGAGGGGTTCGGTGCCCTCGTCCTGTGCTCAGATTTCACGTGCTTGACTACATCGCTTTGATCGGCCCGGAGGAGCCGAAGCGCTCGCCCTTTGCTAAGTTTGGCTGAAACTGGATAAAGGAGGCGTGTTCAGCAAGCGGTCGCGACGGAGAGAACATAAGGGAGATTCTGAGAGTTTTCTTGTCTTCTCCATAGCTCAGAAGCTCCTGATTTTGATTCCAGCACGTCGACTAGCCCGAAGAACACCTCTTTTGGATTTATGACAAGAGACATGTTTTAGCAGATTGTCCCTGAACAACTTCCAGACAAAACGAAGAGTCACGACCAAGTTTTTGAAATGCAGACTTCTGCCAGAAAAAACACCATCATATAATCATTGTGGAATGAATTTAAACTTCAACTGATCAACTTCAGCCACTTTCGGCTACCTTCCTTCTTTAACTCGGGTTGTTGTGACTCTACCTGCTTCCCCCTTTGATCCTTGGGCCTCAAAACAAGAAAAAAAAATCAATTGGAGTGCTTTTTAGCTAAAGTAAAGATGCCCATGTTGCACCCTTGCCATGGCGTACGCGCGGTGGGAATAGTGCTTCGTCACGAAGCACTATTCCCTGTTACTCGTCTGCCGAATGCCATAAGGACATTCGGCGAATCGGGGGCTACGGAGTGCTTTGACTTGGCTGAGCCTATAGTTCGCCTTCAGGTCAGCTTGTATTTATACAGTTAATTTCCTAAACTGGCTAGTTTGCAGCGAGTCGCCCTTTGTTATTCAACGCAAATATTATTTTTTCTCGACTCATGAAAGGAAGTTTTATAAAACTCCCCTTTATCTCATATCGTTTTCGGCGTGCAAAAACAATCTACAAAACCTCCCTATCAAAAGTACCTGACCTACCGATTCGATTCCGTTTGGTGACACTTCGTCAGTGTCCTTGCTTAGTTCCCGGGGAGTGCCCTGGGAGGTCTATCTGTCTGAATGAACCTCTTCAAAGCAGTTCTTCAAATAGTTGTCTTAAAAAAGATTTAAGGCAGCGTTTAAGAGTAATTTTTCCTTGGGAAATGTGTAGGTCGGAATTTGGGAGTTTTTCACGCAATGCGAGAAACAGGATATAACAAATGCATTTTAGTAACATTGCTTAAGGTACGATTATGTTTCCAGAGCCTACAACAGTTTTCCTCCAAAATAATTTTTTTTTGCGAAGTTACGTCCGTGCAGACGTAACTGCACCTTTCTACTGATTCGTTGTAGAATCATGTGGGCTGATCAATAAGTAATGATCGTAGGAATAATTGAATTTATTTTCATTATAATTTGATGGCGGCGATCAAGAAAAAATCTGCACACGCAGCGTGACGTGTTCTTAACCACCTATAGTGCACAACGACGATTGCACTGCAGGAAATAAATAATTCGGAAGAAACAATACACAAAAGTCACCATAGCAAGTTCTGAAGAGATCAAACGCGGATACACTAATTGCACTAATAATCATGACCTCCCATACAAAATGATGATCAAATTTCTCTTTTTGACATTTTGTTCTAACTCAAATGTTTAGTTTCATAGAAGTTTAGTCAAGTAGGGATATTGTATTTTAGCCTTTCTACGACATAATTCTTTCCTTGCGTGACCACCTCCTAACACCTGGCGCCACGGGTAGGATACGCATTAATATTTTTTTAGAGATTAGTGTATTCTTAATGACCCGTATTTTTAGGCTAGTACTATGTCTGTAATGATACAAAGTGCGAACGTTGATGATGCGGAACTGTTTGATTATGTCAGATGTATGAGACTGAAATAAGATACCACGTTTGGCTCTTTTTTTTAACAGGTGTATTTTTTAACATTTTGTTGAAGTGGGTGCGGTGCGCCCCAAACTAAATGGCAATAATTTAGGTAGGAATAGAACACTAAATTATAAACCATTAACTGAACATTTATTGGTAAAGCATAACGATGACGGTTTAACATGCGAACAATTTGTGACAACTTGTTTATAACGTAGGTAATGTCCCCTGGCATATTATCAGGGAAAATGAGGCCTAGAATCTTGAAAGAATTTACAATCTCAATCTTGGTTAAGTTTATGCTCAAGTATTTTGTAAGGGTAGCTACTTTATTTTTTTGGGACGAAAGTGCACAACTTTGATTTTTCAATTTTTTTAGGCAAATTAAATTTGCTCCACACTTGCAATCTATACAGCGTCAGGTTTGCTCTGTCAAATAACAAATCAGAATGTTCTGCAAAGAAAAATATACCTGTGTTATCGGCATCATTTAAAAAAAATTCTGAATAAACATTGATAATATTATTTACGTGTATATTGAAGAGAAAAGGACTCAATATAACTACCCTGCAGTACACCAGATGAGATGGGTTTTGTAAGAAGGTAGTTTTCATTAATACAGACGTATTGCAAGCAATCGATGCTCCAGATACGACTTTATTAGCTTCAATGCCTGCCCTCGAAAACCTTATAAGTATCTCATATCGCTAAAAAGATTTTGTGATAGAGGCAATCAAAGGCATTTGAGAAGTCAATAAACACACCAAGATCTTTTTCAAATTTTTTGAAGAATAAAGTGTTTTGCGTGTATACCTACGCTAATTTTTAACTCTAGTGAAGTTGCACTACGGTCATACTACTTACCTTTTAATATAAAATCTTAGTACTATCTAGTTACTATTGTTAATACTTTCTATTAAGTGTCTAACAAAAACTATTGAATTGTTTTATGATCAAAAGCTCACATTAGGAATAATAATTAAGAAAAAATAAACAAGACGGTGTTTTATTGCACTTACTGGCAGTTTCTTACATAAAATAGCCTTAAATAAACACTGCCGCGGACATCCAATCCCAACTTAGATCCATCGCAGTGATAAAGAACTAAACTCTGGTTTACAAGTTGCAAAACTGATAACGGAATTATCTCTACAAAAGTGTAACACGGACGAGTTTGTTTGACAGATGACGGTGTGAGAAGGTTTTGAAGTCTTTGTGCAACCGCTATTCGAGTCTGTTATCGCTGTCAATCTTAATTACCCACTTCTCTCGACGCTTCCAATTACAGCGTTTCTTTACGAGAAGTGCCCGCTGTCACGCACATTCCGAAACGTCCCAGGACACACTTCCCCCTCAACTGCGGCCGGAAAGCGCTCGCGCGCGCATCTTTAAGAGGACCTTATCAATCTTGTTCCGTAAGCAAAGACCCTCCAGAGGCCCCTCGAAGCATCGGGGCCGCATCTACACCTGCTACCGCAAACAACACACGTCAAAACCTTCATCCCTGCATTGCAACATGCGAACCTCCCCCCTCTTTCCGTCCCTCCGCGCCAAGTCTTCTAGAGTGCCCCCGCACTCTTCAACTTTCCAGAAGCCTCGAGTGGCTATTACCAAAACTAAATCACAAGAAAACCGGGTTTGCATAAAAAAAAAAGAGCAGAAAGCACATGCGAAGGAACAGAAAGCAGCACAACAGAGCCTCTCCGCATTATATAAGATGCGCGCTTTCAGTCTTTGGTGTATGTGTGTATTTTTTTATGTATCTTCTCCCCGGAGATTTTTTTGAAGACACCAGGAGGGACCTATGGCCCCTGGGAGCCTTCTCCGCCATCTTCGTTATCGCGCGAATCGAAACTCGGGAGCGCTCGAGGAATGTGAATCGCACTGTTAGCTTGCCCACGACCCTGCGAAACTGTCACTGCCCCTCTTACCATCGCCCCTGATGGTCGATGTTTATCGCGATGCCGGGACCGTACCCATACGGGGCATTCCTGGAGGGTGGACCCTAGAAGAAGACACGTCTTTCCTCGGGGATACGGTCCGACTGTTTGCACAAGAGACTCAGGGAAGCGGCCGTGCTCGGGGGATCTTATCGTGTCCATATAACAAATTAGCAGCCATTTAATTCTGTCTGGCTCGTTGCGCTTAACGAGTATGCGGATGTTTGGCAGTGATGTTGATCTGTGTGTGCCCAGTGGCCTTCTTGGTGGTTATGAACGTGACTTTGGCCCTCCTGGTTTTTGGTTTCGGTCGGCGCGTCCCGACTGGAATTTGGCGATGTAGCGCCACGTCCTACGGGATGTGGCG